TGGTCGTTAGCCAATAGCAAAACTGTTTTAGAATCAGCAATGTTTTCATTAAGTATTATTTGCGAAGCTTTAGCTAATATAAATAGTAAACGAATTACCGTTTACAGTTCACAAAACTTGAAGTCGAATAATAAAATACCTTAAAAATAAACCAACTTCAACAGTCAACCTACAGCGAGTAAAGATGCCGATAACTTCCCCCAACTCATTATTTCACTTAAATATTGCTTTAAGTATGAAAAAAGATGGCCGTAAACATCGGTGGTTCATAACTTTTAGCAAAACTTTTATTCTCTTTACATTAACATAATATTTACCTTAACTCGTCGAGTACCGGTTTTGCAGACACAATTATAGAACAATAGGTTGCGGTCACCGGTGACCGCTTGGTGTTTGACAGTTTAATAATATCTGCCCTAGAACTGTTCTGTGTCTGTCTTACGCTTCCATTACTATTATCAGCTATGGTCGTCCCACTGTAGGGGAAAGACATCCCTATCCTCCTTCTACTCGTCTTCGTAGAACTTTCTGTGATCAATCCTTTTCATAGGCGTCAAGTTCGTCCCACCATCGTCCTCTGGACCTGCTATGACGACGTCTATTGAAGTTATGAGAGCTCTACTCAGTAGTGAGTTTTGCCCACCGCTCGTCTTTCATGCAGTGGCATCAGCCCAGTTCCACTTTAAGCTTGCGGTTTTCTGAACAACTGTAGCAATTTAAGTTTTGGAGGGCAGCATAGAGTTTCTTATTCTGTCCGATAATCGGACTCCTAAGATACTTCGTTCTGTGGCTCTTTGGCAAACTCTCAATGTGCCCTTTTGATGTTTTATCAAAGACCTTTGTTATGGTCACCACCTCTACCATGATGAGTTATTTTTGACCAAAGACCAAAAATCTCTGATAGCAGTAAAAGTGAGAAAAATTAACCTAACTGTGTTCCAGGTGAGTCAATTCGGCGGGTCTGCGTGGGAATGGAGCGAAAAGAGAGGACAATACTACCTTCATCAGTTTGCGGTTGAACAAGCAGACTTCAACTTCAGAAATCCAGCCGTCAAACAGGAGATGTTTGAAATTATGAAGTTTTGGTTGGATAAAGGCGTTGATGGCTTCAGAGTTGACGCGCTTCCATACCTGATAGAAGCAGATCCAGCCGACCATGGTGGAAAGTACCCTGATGATCCTCTCAGTGGACTGGCGCAGTTCGAATCACATCAGCTAGGCTACACAATTCCTCTGTACACCAAAGACTTAATTGAATTGTATGACGTCGTGTACGAATGGAGAGAGTTTATCGATGAGTACAATAAGGAGCATGGAGGAGATACCAGGTGAGTAAGGTGTTTAAGACGTAGGAAAGATTTCTTTACAATTTAAGCTATTTCAAATTGTCCGTTCTAAATAATGGAATTCTTATAATTGGAATCCTATGTAAGTATCCAATGAATCCTATAAGAAGGCCCAAAATTATTATACTTCAGTTAACAACAAATTGGAGATTGAAAATTTGGAAACTTCAATAAAATTTAAGGAATACTTTGTAATTTTCGTCTTTCTTTAATACTGCTATAAAGGTATTTAGGGAAGTATATAGGTAGGTAGATTTGAACCTTTACGGAACAATAAGTCTAAGATATTGTTTTGTATAATTTCCCTAAAAATAATTTCCTTATTCCAGGGTTATATTCTCAGAAGGATATGCCAACATAACCATGACTATGTTGTACTATGGAAATGAGGAAGGAAAGATTGGCGCCCATTTCCCGTTCAATTTTGACTTCATCACCGACGTATCATCTAAGTCTAATGCGAGGGACTTTGTCTACACCATACTGAAATGGCTCACCTACATGCCTTATGGAGCAGTAGCTAACTGGCAGGTAAAATTATGAAGTGGTCAGAAAACTTTTTGATAGATCATCGACATATAGGAGACATGTACAAGTTTTTATAAAGTGAAAAAATATAATATTATGACAATTTTTGTAACAACGTAAACGATTTGATTTTTAGTTCGGTAACCACGACAACAACAGAATGCCGACGCGGTTCCGTCACGACATGGTGGACGGTCTCAACTCTCTGAACATGATGCTGCCCG